TATATATATAGCTGAAATTCGAACTATATATATGTATATATATAAATAATATCATATACCCTTTTAGAGAAGGTTTACAAAGAGTGTAACTAAAGCTTATACTTTTAGCAAACGTTCCGAACATTTGTATCTAAACATAACATTTAGAGAAGGTAAGGAAAATGTAACTAAATCATGCCTTTAGAGAAGCTTTGCAGATGAGCGTCGCTAAAGCATACATCTTTAGAGAAGCTTTTCTAAAAACCTTCTCTAAAGGTAACTTTTAGCGACGCTTAAAAACTGTCATTGATGCTAAAAAACGTCACTAATACATATTTTTAGGGAAGCTTTTCAAAAAATTTTGGCCAACCTTTAGATACGCTTTGAAAGTGTTTCCAAAGCCTAAAATAAGCTTCTGTAAATGTCAACATAAATATACCCTTCAAAAACCCTCTCTAAAACCTTCTCCTACCGTTATATAGGGAAGGTTGCTAACGGAAGTAAAAAGCTTCTCTAAAGGTTTTAGAGAAGCTTTTCAAACTTTTAAATACAAAAGAAAAGCTTCTCTAAAGATCATTTTTCTTGTAGTGTAACTTGTTTCTTTTTCGAATCTATTCTTCAACAATGTTTTTAGAGCCTGTGGGGGCACTTGACGTCACCAAGCAGCGTCTCGAGTTGTTATGTTAGTTGATCTACCTTTGTAGAAGGTCCACTTCTGTCCCGATGGGGTACTTCCTGTAGCATATATAGATATATATATATATATCTATACTACATATATAAGCATTTAAGACAAAGTCTTAAATACAACTCCTAAAACATATGTTACAATAATTTTATGCATGATTTTCCAAAAACTCTTAATTACAAATTATTATACACAATGTACAAACTCCTTATGCAATAGTTTCCTACAGCACCAAATACTAATTCTGTCAATTGTGTTTTCTCTGCTCAGACATGTAAGGTAACCAATTTGAGCTTTCTTTTCTTCTTCTGTATATGCGACCAAATCCTTTCTTCTTCACAGAATTTGACCATCAATTCTCTCAGACATCTAAAATAACTTTCTTTCTTCTTCTTCTTCTTCTTCTTCTTCTTCTTCTTCTTCTTCTTCTGTATATGTGACCAAACCCTTTCCCTTTTTTCTTCACAGAATTTGACCTTCAACAATATGAATTCCCACTCCCGAGTTGAACGAATTCCTCCGTCCYTCCAAAAACCTAGATTTTTCATTTCAATCTGTAACCCTTTTTACAGCTTTCTTCCACCCATTTAGTAACTTCAAACCATTCTTTCTTCCTTCTTGTTTCTTCCTTCCCTATTACAGCTCTCACCTGATAAAAAGATTCAGCTTTTCTTTATCGTAAACAACATCATCACTCAGAGGTTTCTGTATTTCGTGCTTTATTCAAGAAACCAATGGAAACAAAAGATACCTACATAAAACCGTGTTCATCGATCCCCCTCTTTCTCTCAATCACATTCGCATAGCAAGCTTCTTCTATTCGAATTTGATTTGAGCTTGAGGTAGCGTACGAAAACCCTAACCCTTGATTTCTGATCTCGATTTAGTATCTTCTGTATGCCCATCTACCCCTCTATGGAATATCGACACACCTTTCCTCACTGGCCAATTCCACCAGGTTTCCCTTTTCTCCTCTTATTATAGATGATTAAAGACTCAATCGTCTATGGTTTTTTGTGAGTTTATACAATCTGGTTGATAATTTTGAATTTCTTGGAACTAACGTAGGATCATATGCTTATTTTGCAACTTGATGTAGGAAGTGGAATCGACACCTGGACTTGCTGAATCTAAGGGAAATTCAGTTGATTTAGGGTATTTTGACCTTTTTGGTAGACTGATATTGATATTATTCACGTTGTTTGGTTTTTTTTCTAATGTTTCTCAATGCTGCTATTAAACAGAATTGATTATCTTATTACATTTTGTTTCTACAGTTTGGAATCTGAGAAGCCTATAGACTGCTACAGTGCTTCAGTGCAGGTAAAGTAGTTGTTTTTATGTTTGGGTGTACAATATTTTACGTTTTTCTGTTAAGATTGTTAATTTCGATTGTCCTCGTTATTTTGTGACACTTGAGTTATCTAGATGTTTTATACTTGCAAAATTGAATGTTGTTCTTTGTTGTAGATTTGTGATCCGAGTTTGTATTATATCTGCCTTTCATTGCTTCCTCAAATATTTGGTAAAATGTTTTCTATAGGCATCTCAGTTTTGCCCTTGGTTTCTTCTTTTATCAATCAAGCTTTGTGAACTTTGAAAACTTTCTCATATGTTGTCAATATGTTCTTAGACACAAAGCAAATAGGTTGCATCTATTCTAGCTCATTTGGAGGATTCTAACTATGAATTGATTGAAGAAGATACATCTTTAAAAAGGTCGATGCAATTTTAACACCTGGGCACAGGTTAGCACTTGAGCTCATGTTTTAAGGCTTATCATTTGCAACACTTGAGCCAAAATGTACACCAGAGTCCAGACAATGTGATGAGAATTTAGGACAGTTTGGTGATTGATATGATGATGATAATTGGTGGATTATCTAAAACTWGGTCGCTTGTATGCTTTATAGAAGCACTCTTGTTAAGGTTTAGATATATGAAATGTATGAGGCTCTATATTTTGTCATGTTGGTTGTGGACAATGAAAAAGGCATAGTTGTAGGAATGCGTAATCATTACACTTTTTAATTGATTAAAGGACAATTTCACCCTTAATAGTAAAAATAAGTTTTTTCTCCATCTCATAATTAAGGTAGAATGAGAAGTAGACGCTTAGTTTGGGACAAACTAAAATGGAAATGCAGACACTTATCCTATGACTTAGGGAGTAACTATATTTAGAGTCCAATGGGTTGAATTTTTTTCTTCTAGCAGTTTACACTGCTGTGAGCTAACATTTTTTGGTAATAATTGTTTGCATTGTAACTTATATAGCTTATGATGTTCCCTAACTCAACGAACCAAGTATCCGAAGCTTCTACAAAGGTATATTGAGCTTTAAATATACCTGGTTGAATACCTGTTTAAATTGGACTTGCATAATGGTCTTGGATAATGCCAAACTTGTGTACTGATTCAATTTATCACTCATTCAAAACTACATTTTCCCTATGAATGTGTCAATAACAAATGAAAATGTGCATAAGCTTTTATCTAATCACACACTCACAAACATCTGGCCATGTTACTGTTTTGAACTGTGCTGTTTGTGCTGTTTTGAACCATGCTGTTTACACTGTCCTAAGTCACTATGCTGCTGTCATGTAGTCACAATGCTCTCAATTTTAATACAACATTCCCAAAATAAGATAAAATATTAATAGAGGATCTTGTATCCAAGGTTTTTGGCTGTTTCAATTTCAATACTACATTACCCAACTTCTAAATATATGTTCATTTAGCCCGTTCATTTATGTTCGTTTAGGCCGTTCGTTTACGTTTGTTTAGAATGTTAACGAACGAACATAAACGAACAAGAACACAAAGATTTTCGTTTGTTTACCGTTCGTGTTTGTTCATTTGTTCGGTTAAGTTAAAGAACGAACATGAACAAGCCTCCGTTCGTGTTCGTTCGTTTACAACTCATGTGTTATAGGATTATCTCCACTTGTTAAAATCAAACAAGAATCCCAAAAATGTTTAAGAATCATGAGGACCAATCTCATCCATCCCATCCACTTTCATCCAACGGCTTTARTTAACCTTCCATTTTTAATCCATGAAGAGCATGGTGGTAGATTTACCAATCTCAGTTATGTCCCAATGATTTTGCAACTCTTTAATTCTCTCTCATCCTGTTTTCTTTCTTATTCGCAAGGATCCTCCATTGCATCTTTCCACTTCTCTCAATCTAATGTTTCTTACAGGATCCATCTCTTGCATCATGATAATCCAAATATGATTCTTCTACATATACAAAGTTTTGATTGCTTTTGAACATTCACCAGGCACGTAGAGACCTCAATGATCCCGAGAATGCTGCAATTGGTGCTTTTGCTGGTGACTATATGCTTCACTCCTTTTTTCTCATGCTTATCAAGAGTGTCATGTTTTATCACAACTCTTGTGATCAACCATTACATTTTCTCAC